CGCCATTCGACTATTGTCGTGAACCATATCCTAACACAAGCGTAGAGCTCAGTTGGAATGGTTAATGGAAATATTAGTAAATCAACAAAAATCTAATAACGTTTTAATTAAAAAAAATGTAGTAGATAATTTAATTGTTTGAATATAAGTATACATAGTACTTTATATTCTCTCCCAAAAAATAAACATATATCTTTGAGTTTGGACAATAGACACATTCAGTTGTTTATCTATTTTGGTTTTTTTTTTCTAGCTTTAGTAATATATTGTTTTTTCTCTGTTTCATTTAATGAGAATTGCTAACCTTTGGAATTTAATGAACACTAGCTTCCATCCTGATTAGTTGCAATACGGTCCGCCCGTCGTTTGCGGCCTAGGGGAGAAAATGGTCATTTAAATATATCTTCACTTATACACACTATAAATATAAAAAGAATAAAGGTGACATTTTAAAACAGCATTTTTATTCTTAGGCGTTACTATTACTGGAACACCTTTTAATAATTTCATTAGAAAACTGAACCTCATTGTATTATCAAAAAAAGTAGTTCGTTATTGATAAAATCCCATAAAAAAATAAAGAGATAATTAAATGAAAACATTTACAATTCACACTTTTTAGGCTTTAGTTTTTTTTAAGAAGTGGGTTGTATTCAGCCTTAACTGAAATGCAACAAACATTATGTAAACAAATTGTTTGCCTTAATTAATGATTATTCTCGATGAGCTAATTGTTGATGAATAAATAAAAGCTCTTCGAAATCGCGGCGTAATCAGTAATTAGGCCTGATTGTGAATATTTGCATCAGGTAATTTGGTGTATTATTCCACCTCTCTATTATAAGCATAGTTTTGCAATGTTTAATTGATTCGGAATATTATGTTTATGTTGTTTTATTTTATCAGATTTTATTTTTTGGATCTGAAATACGTATGTTTAACTATCAGGCTATCGTCACATGAAATTTCAAATGTCTAAATTTAAAATTATAAATCATACTATACACAAATAATCGTGGTTATTTACACACATTTTACATGAAATGTAAATCTTAGAGAACGCATTAACTGTTTATACAAATCAATATTTATTGTAATCCATTAGAAAATGATTAACGACCTTATATGTTATCTATCATTCGTATCAACGCCGTTAAATCCATTTTGCTTATTGAAATAAATTTACAAGTTTCCTTTATTTATTTTTGTCTTATGAATGGATAGACACGTGTTAAATTTAATTGTAGACATTAACACTGCTATAATAATGTTAGAAGTGCTGTCTTGTCTGATATACATTATGAAAGAAAAAAGCAGATATAACAATACATTCGATAATAAAATAATTTTAAGAACATTGTCTTTTTCACAATATTTATTATCTGTTCATTATAACCCGTGACTTTAACAGCATAGGATTTCAAAAAGTAACGTATGATATTGCGGCGTGCATCAGATAGCTTCCTGTCAAAGCCCCGACAAAATTGGTTCAGTCGTTCTGGAGATTACCCGGACCAAATACGACCCGAACAGACAGACAGATAAAAAAACTTTTCAAATATCAGCAATGCAAATACATCACGTTCATTCAGATACTAAAATACTTTATATTTGACTATATGCATTTTTTTACTTTAAAGCGTGTGTTCGATAGACCAATAAACTAAGAAAGTGACTAAAAACAAACATTATATAAGCTTCATTTTACTTGTATCATCATAAACCATTAGATGTAAACTGTTGGACATATGCCAAAGATTGTAATAAAGATTTGTTCCGACCATCCTCATCTAGGGCACTCCTCTCCGCTGTATGTTATACTTAGTTCAAACAAATGCAAGAAATGATGTAATAGAAAATTTTCTGCTATACAAAGCTCACTAATTAGTTTTAACACACTCAATGCCGAAGTCTTTGTTTAGTACGAATAATAGTGAAAACATTTAACGTGTTAACATGTAATCTGCAACTTTTGTTCTACGATATCAGCCATCACTTGAGTTTGTAATCATTCGTGAATTGCTTTCACGCTCTTCAAAGCCACCGTAGTAAATGGAAATGAATATTTCGAAATGAAGATAAAATCTCTGAAATATTTGTGTTGCAGTTTAAATAAACCGCGTTTGATGTTGATCAAAAAGCAGTCGGTGAGAGGTATGCAAACAATTTTGCAATAAAGTTGAACGGGTTTTCAATTTCCACACTTTTATCATACTTTTTCATTTTACATTTTAACTTAAAGAGGAAAAAAAACTTTATAAGCTTTTTTTTAATGTTCGGAACTGTGTATCGCTGGCAACAGATTACTTTGTGATGAAGGAAGAAGAAAAAAGTCGCTAACGTAGTAAAATCTTCATAAATAGTAACTTCACGGTGCGAAAACGATAGCCAATTTACGTCATTACGCGCGCATGCCCTGACCGTCTAAAAGTGTGGATATTGTAATATACGGGGAAGTTAATCTATAAATTAACACAATTTCTTGAATCTTTCAATTCTCAGTTTCTTGTAGCTAATCAGAAAATTACTTAAAAAAACTATTATTAAAAGTTACGTTTAACACAGATACGAAGAAATATACATCTTTAGTTGCATTTTGTGAACTTATTACACGAGATAAAAAATATTCTTTGCCAAAACTAGACATGACAACTGCGTAATTAAATAATATGAATTGTGGAGGCAACAGTAGAGAGTAGCTCCCGCCCGCTCTGTGCTCTAATGACAAAACTTTTATTGCACCAAGTCTCGCATACAAAGTAACATTTAATAATATAAAACATGTAGACTTCTTAAAAACTTGGATACATACATTGTTTTTAATAAAAAGGGACCCAGATGTTTGAAGTTCTAGACCAGGAAAAATTTATTATGATACAAATACAATATATGTACTCGTATTTGCTTATTTTATTTTAATCCGTGTATTTATTTTACAAGTAAATGTAACGAGAGGTTTATTATTAGTACCCTTTCCCTATTTTATACTCATTGTATAGATATTATTATTTAACTTATTCGACAACACGTTTTTTGCATTTCGTCACTATGACGTTACATCTATGTTTCAATTTACATGCACTTTTTACTCTCAGTAAACGCTTCACCTCTAACAACTCAAAGCTTTGGACATTCAATTGTTAAAAGCTCAAATTGCTGAACGTTTTTAGCTCGCACAAAATGTCCAGTTCCTTTTTGTGACAATTACAATGTAGGAGCACCATGAATTTCACTGTTAATTGTAAAGGTTTTTTAGACAACTCTGGGACATAAAACTTTCTGATATTTACATACCGAAATAAAACCTAATAAAACTAAATTACTAAGCTTGCATATTTTGTAGTTTTTGGTTCTATAATAAATTTATCAAAGCATAGATAACAAAGCGTAATTTTCATTTTTAGTAATTTAAAGTTAGCTATATTGAACAAAACACACGTTTGTACACTATTGAGCAACAGTGACGCCACTTCGTCTAGTCGGCAGGCGTCGTAATGTCTCTGTGTACTCTCCCCTCTAGTTCATTAATAACTACAGCCATCGTTAAAGCAGCTTGAACCATAACATTACATTTTTAGATCCGAGAAACAACCATATCATTATTACCATTTCTTAAATGTTCTGAGTTAAAATCATAATTTTGTAACAATGGATTTTCTATGATTAAACATTCATAACTAAAACCCATTATTTTTTTTAAACAATGGAATATGGTGGAAAATAACACAAAATGTAATCTGCGATTCATTTTCAAAATTACCACTTACTTAGAGTAGGCTCCGAACCCCTCAGTGGTGACTTATAGTGATATGGTTATGATGAATTCCTATTTCAAAATGAATAAAGGGATTATGAAAATGGGAACGAAATTCGCACAGATTTCTATTATTTTACCCAAAGCCTTTACTAAAATGTTGGTTCTTGTTGACGTGTTCGCTGAATATACCTGCTCTCATATTTGAGGGTCCCGCAAGAGCCAGAAGGCTTACACACAAATAAGCTCTGTTATTCCAGCAAATGCAAAATGTCGAGTAGAATTTCATTCAAATGAAGTACTAATGAGATATTTATGGAGTTCATTTAAACTTTAGGTTTTACCACGAAACTCCAAAACGGATGAACAGATTTAGTTGAAATTCGAAAAAGATACGAGTTCCAAAATTTATTTTGGAATAGCACATATGTAGTAACTGCTAATTCAGATTTTTTAAGTCTTTACAAACGATATCGTGGTCATGACTATCGATTGTCTACTTGACTTTTTACCATTTCATTCGAAGTATCCAACCTCAGCGTGTCATAGCGGACAAAACTCATCTTCGTAACCTCTATACGCTTAGGGTGACATTCAACTGTGAATAATTAAACTTTCATTCCTTCGTACGTTAATATTTTGCGACACACGATGAGCTTTGCCATTAAAAATTCAACCGAGTTAAGTTAATCGATCTCGAACCTTTTCTTAATTAGCAGATATATCAATGATTCTGGTTTTGGTACAAAATTCAACTATCTTACTAATCCGAGCCGATAGAGTTTTTAGCGTAAACGACTGAAAGGATCTAGATGAAATTTAACAGAGATGTAGAGCATAGTCAAGAAGAACACATAGGCTATTATTTACTTTTGTTTTATTAATTCCACGCGGGCGAAGATGCGGAAGAAAGCTAGTTATTCATAATCAAATATTTTTACTTCATTAAAAATTACTTTATCAATTTCTTCTCCAACTATCTTTGTCACTTTTTATGTTTTTCCGGACGCATAATTTCCTTAAAAAGGTGTGTGCAAAAAGTGCACATGCAAAGACCTTGACATTATTTTATTAACACAATTATGCATTAATTTTTGTCGAAACCCACATTACAGTTCGTTCGGATAAAACAAAAAAATAATTTAAAAAAAATAATAGTTTTGTTTACTTATGTTAAATGTTTGTTGCTTTCAAAGCTTATTTTATGACTTTATTATTTATTATTAAAGACATGTTTAGAGTGCAGTGTTAAAATCGCGTAAAAAGTGTCCATAACAACAAAAAGTCTAAAAACTACTAAAAAACGTTATAGAAATATGTTATTCCAAGTTCACATCGACTTTTCCCTTGATAGCGCAGTGTCTTGAGCAGTGATATGGGAAGGAAACATTTATGATCAAGGCAGATTCGGCACAGAATCAAATATGCAGATGATATTGGTTGCTGGGGGGTAAGTTGTTTATACGAGTATACTCTGAATAAATTATGTTATCAAATAGTACGTGCCGCGATTGTTCAAAAATCATTACACTATTTTTAAACTAAAGTTAATGTTAGTGTTTCTAATAAACTAAAGTTAATTAGAAACACTGAAAAAAATAAAAAACCTTTCCATAATTTATTAATTCCAGAACCTCCTTTACATTATACGCCAAAGATATCAATCTTGTTTAAAAAGACGAGCTAAATATGATATTTTGCGATGCTATTTAGTTCTAAGCGAAAAATCTTTTTAGTTCGTTCAAAAAGATGGTAACGTCCTTTGAAAAATTCAGCACTGAATAGCCCTCAGTGAAAAATTAATTCCAAGTAGCAGACTTTAATCACAGTTTCTAACTAATCGATATTCACTAATACTCCACTACTATTCATACAAATTTATTAATAGTTATGATCCAACACCTGGTATCAGATTCACAGCGGTGCCTTTTAAAGGATATGTTTTACGAAAATGTATTCTCATATAGAATGCCGTGGTTATCGTGGATATTGATAAATTTTAAATTTTTGTTTTTATTCTATTGCCAATTTAAAAATCAATTGGAACAATCGGCTTTTGTATATACGAGTGAGTATGTATTCTGTGAAGAGCAGAGAGCACATCTTGTAGTAAATATTCTTATCTATGTGTTACATTTCACTTTTGAAATCGCTTAATCAACATGATTTACTTGTTGTACCATTTTAACATGCTTATGTAGATACTACGTACGTACTTGTTATTAGAATTTATGTGGTTTTTATTTATCATTTTGCGACTGAAATATCGTTCAGCAACAAGCCGTTTTTGGCAAGTCGTAATCGCGAAACATCTGTTTTCAACTTTGAACCATGTTCTAACTTCGATTTATTCGATTCGATCCGCATTTAGAAACATCGTTGTGTTTGTGTTTGTGTAAACACAAACACAACGATGTTTCTAAATGCGGTTTAAAAATAAGAGTACAATTGTTTATGTGTATGTACTTGAGTACAGCGTTTAGAGTCGCGAAGCAACCTCTTTGGATTCTAATGACCCCTTAACCTCCATGACGCTGGGACTCATCTGTATGTAATTAAAAAGAAGTTACATTACTATTTTAAATAGGTCATGGGTTTTTAAGTTTTTTTTTTTTAATCCTACACAGACCGAAAAGTAGTAATATTGTACTCGTATATGTTACGAAAGTTTGGAACCGTATCGTAGGAAACCGCACAAACAAATACACGATGGGTGCATCGACCCCATTGTCATTGTCTAGGCTCATAACGCCACTTGCCAAGTATTGTCTTTGCCAATTCGGGTTGACCCATCAAACCAGCAACTCAGTCGAGTCTAGACCTAGGCCGAGGTTACGCGATGTTAATTTTACGAAACTACGAAAACAACCAAGCTTCAGATGTAGGAATATTTTTTATAGATGTCTTCAGTGATCAGGATTTATCTTTTTTATAGATTAAAACCTGTACAAAAATGTTAGATGTATTTTCCTAGTTAGTTAGTTACGAAAAATTGACAATTATATCAGTAAAGTAGATTTTGGACCATACAGAACATGGAGTAACTGAAATATGTCCAGTAAACCCTATATTGGACTTACTACGTCAACGACCTTTTGGTATATACCAGGAGTATCCGAGCTCCTAGATAGTCCGAGTCAATAATAATATTCGAAATATGAAATTTTTCGAGAGCCGCAATTATTGCATGTAAGCAAAATATGCAAAACAGAAATGTTTATTACAACGTTTCACTTAGTATTTCAGATTTATGTTAATTACATAAAATACGTTATGAAAAACACACAAAAGGATGATTTTTTTTTATGTAGGCTCAGGATATTTTATACTTGTTCTATACCTATTTCATTAACTAATCATTAATCGCGTCAATCACCTTTTTTACAGCTTTGAATCCTGTAAAATAATATTATATTATGTGTATTTACAGGTTTTTTGTGGCTTTTAAAATAAGTTTTTTGTAGAATTCCTCCATTAAATATAGCGACACCTAGCGGCGTTTGCGTGAAACACGACGATTCACAGCTTGGAACGAGCGCATTTGGACACAACAGTGCAAGTTTCACTGCGGGTACTAGATGGCGCTGTAAACGAAAACGAAACGAACCATTAAATTGAGTTTCACCAGTACGAAATAGGTGTCGCGACACATATGCCGTTCGAAATTGGCTACATCCAGCTCAAGTTTACTAAAGTTTTACGGAACATGCGAAGATACAACTTATATACTATTGCTGAGACTTTTATATCGGTGTCGTCGACAGATTTTTGAAAGTATAGGTGTAGCAGAAAATCTTTGAAAAATTAAGTATGTAACAATTTGTTAGGAAACATTTTTATCATAATGCGGATTTTTGTTTCGGTTATTGAAGCTTTTAAATTAAATTCCTTTGTTCTACTTAAAGCGAGTAAGAATTTAAGAAAACAATAAAAACAAAAAATCAACAATCGCTATATAAACTAGAAATTATCACACGACAAATTTTGTAAACATTACCTGTATTGTCTACTTCTGTATTTAGGTTAATGTCTAAAGGCTAAATCCGTTCATTCTCTACTTCTGCACCAGTTTTTATTTGTTTTTATTTTTTTTTCTTCAATTTAACAAGAAACTTACATGTTATATTACGTTATAATATTTGTGAACAATTTGTCACTGTTAAACTTAAATCAGAGGAGAGCATAGCGAGAAAACTAGCAACGGACGACTAATCTTCGTCATCTATCATTTTCATCCGCTGTCTGTCGAAATATTGCCATCAAATATACAATCACAGTGTTATTATATCATGTAGAAATTAAAAATATGCTAAATCAATTGTACATTATTTCTAGCTGTTCCCATGCGACTTCATCCACATAAAATTATGAAAATTTTATTTTATTGCATACATGTGTTAAGTTATCACTTGCAAATGTCAAAATGATATGACAAAGCATGGCAACCTTGCTCCCTTAATGTTGTTAGCAACTTATGGTCTCTTTCCCACATTATTTTATCCAAAATTTTTACCCCCTAAGCTTAATTGGTGTGAAAATGTATAGCCTAAAACGTGACGTAAGTGTAGCGCTTTTTATTGAAATAAAGGATTATTCAAAACTATGCTGTAATTATTGACACCTTACACAACAAAGAAGTGTGTGTTTACGCTTTATTATAATAGTATAGATATAGATTAATTTTATACAAAACAATTAACGACACTAACTCCTCTTTTTTTAATGTTTATTAATTTTACTTTTATATCTTTATTTTTAGATATGGACGTTGTATAGTTAGGACGTAAAAGGATGCGAAGTATGGAGCCCATCATTTGGACGCATTCTGTTTTCCTTCCTTCCATAAGCTACGACAACAAATGACCAGGACATCAATTTTATTAACTCGCCCGTATAGGATCTGTTTAGTCAAAATTAATGTTCAATAAGTTAACTTTGGCTAATAGATTCTTTATGTGAGAGTTGAATACTTCACAACTGCAGAAAATTTGCAGAGCACCTTTAATATTGGTACATATGAAAGTCCACGACCGTATGGACATATGTTTAACTGTCACCTGATATAGACCGCATGAGACTAGAAGAAGAGGAAGATCTCTTTCCCTCACGACTAACTCGTGACCTAAATTACATCCACATCATGAACAACGCACACATCCAAATGGAAACAATTAACAAAAATTTTTGTTACAATTGTAATTGTTATATACTTCTTGATAAAGTTCAAATAAAAACTAGCTCTTGGATCTAAGTGACGACCATTTTGATGTATTGTTTGTTATATCTAAAATGTAATCATCGTGTACTCGAATACAATTTTTTTTCTAACCGTTTATGTTTTGATGTTAATAACTAGATGTCATACCATGGGTTTTATTTATTCCTTACCGTTTTCAGTAACTAACAATTATAAATCATTAAGATTTTGTTAATTGCCTTAAGTTTTTAGTGAAAAACCATCCATTAATAATATTGTGATTTGTTTGGTAGTCAAGGTAATTTTGTACAGCTGTTTCGGTGGAAACTGACAGTTATTGATTTTTCACTAATTTATATTATATATTAACTCAGTGAAATATGTCATTAGTTTTATTGTATTATTATGTGAAGAAATAAACATTCAAATACATGATGATGTTTTTTTTATATTCATTTAAAGTTTTTGATTTTTTTTCAGATTGTTGATTTATATAATATTATATTATTATGCATCTATTTCTTTACTTTACATATAAAATTTATTTATTTATATATATTTATATATTTTTACTAATTTTCTTTTTTTTTGTTTCAGGTAAGTTGACACTGCCTCTAATCTCTGATTGTCTAGCGTCACTGTCTTGCACTTCAAAGGGTAAATAAGGCATCTTCAAGGTAAGTTTTAGTTAAGTTAAAAGGAAGCTAACTTCAAAATCAATGTTACTAAAAAAACTATAAAAATTGACATATTCGACTATGATGCTTACGATATGTTTAAAAAACATTTCTTATTTTTTTATAAATATACTTAAACTTTTTTCTTTACTGTAGATTTTAATATAATAGCAAGCTACCTAGTCACTCACGACAACAAAAACCTTTCGGGCAGCGTATGTATTATAAATGTTAGCACAAAAGATCTTTTTTGTGTTTCTTATAAAATTCTTTGGCTTTCGTTGAAGTGGAAACGACGCCGGTTTACGTAACGTGGACGTATTTGAAGCCGGCAACTTTAAGAATGATGAATATACAAATTCTCACACTATCTAATCTTTTAAACTTCCAACTAATTCTGAATAAATGTTAATTTCTAATTTTCTTTATTGTTTTATAAATCACGAGCTGCTGATCGCGACTTGTCCCCGTGAAATTAAAGAAATAATAAAAAATATAGTCTATGTTACTCACAGAAAAAATACCTTTCTAACGATGAAAGAATTTTTAAAATCTTTTCAGAAATTTTTGAGTTAT